ACCGCCCCCATCACACTCCCCGCCTCTTTCATCATCATCATTATTATTACTACCGCCACCATCACCCATCACCAACATTATTATTATCGTCGCCACCAGTGTTATCAATCAATTTCAATTATATTAACACTTGCTTCATCATCACTTTCTTCATCCAAATCACTATTCTCATCACCCACACCCTCATCACCCACACCCTCACCATCATCTTCTTCTTCATATGATGATAGTTCAGGGTTTTTTGTGAAATTTTTAACCTCAGTATTATAATCATAATTATAATTATTATCATTGTCATTGTCATCCTCAACAATCACAGCAACATCACTGTCAGAAAATCTATTATTATTATTATAACCACTACTGCCACTATCTTCTTCTTCTTCTTCACTGCAATTACCACCACCACCATCACCACTACCTTCTTCATTACCACTATTATGATAATACTGTGAATTATCAACATCATCATTAGATTCAAAACTTTGAAAAATACCACGATTTAATAGTACTTCCATTTGATTTTGAATATCTGATGATGTTTGAATGCTTTGCGTAGAAGCAAAGTTATTGTTCATAATTTGTGCAATTCCTGATAAGTCATCATATCCAACTTCGATTCTTTCTTCCATGTTTAAAAAGTTCATTATAGGATTTTGAGAAGGAGAATAATAATGTTGGTGATGGGTGATGGTGGCGGTAGTAATAATAATGATGATGATGATAATGGTGGTGATTGTAATGGTGGCAGTAGTAGTAGTAATAACAATGATGCTGATGATAAGTATATCAATATTTTGTTGTTGATAAATAAAAGAATTTATTATATAAATGTGCTATCAATTTAGTATTAAAGATGAATAATATAATAAACAAAGGTAATAGCTTTTCCCATTATAGGAGAATCCATTATAGATAGTAATGATTTATTAATTTTTTTTTCAAATGTATGAAAATCTCAAACCACTTGAGTGATAAAGAAATACATGTGATAGTACAAGATTCTCATGCTAATAATTAATTATCATCTCAATCTGAGAACTTTTGTTTTTTTTGGCGCTTTGATTTAGTTTTTGGTGCATTCATCGGCAAAGAAATGTTGACAATTAAGTTATTCTATATAATAAAGTAAATAATTTAGTCAACTACCATTTGCAATTCTGGGTCAAAAAATAAAAAAAATAATACCGTAATGCCTCCACAAACTGTGACATATCTTCTTCATCAACTAGTTGTATCGGGATTTCAATAGAACGTACATGGTAGAGACGATTAATGTCATCTGTATCTTTGATGAGAACATTTAGATGCAACATTCTACCGGCGACTTGGATTCCAACAGGCACCTACCATAAATATCCGACCGCCCAAGGTGTGTAACGTCAAATGAAAAGAGTCCTTACTAAAAAAGTAACGTTTTCTTAAATAAAACCTTTTTTACTTTACAAGTAGATTTTACTTGATATCAAAATCTTTAAATTACAAAAGCTTCGAAAGTTCGGTTTGGTATTGACGGAAACATTTAGCAAATAGTCCAAAAAAGCAAATTTCCAATCGGAATCTTTACATGTAATAAAGGACAAATTTCTTCATTGTAATGTATATTATTTCATTAATAAAATGTGCTCGACGTAACAGATTACATATATCTACAATATGGTGTTGGC